ATGCTGCCGAAATGTATAAATTTAATACATGACAGGATTTTCTATCTATCTATCTATCTATCTATCTATCTATCTATCTATATATATATCTATCTATCTATATATCCATCTATCTATCTATCTATCTATTTATCTATCTATTTCATTTTACATATCTATTCATCTATCTATCTATCTATCTATCTATCTATCTATCTATCTATCTCATTCATTTCATATCTATCTATCTATCTATATATCTATCTAGGTATCTATTCGTTCTATCATTATCTATCTATCTATCTATCTATCTATTCATTCTATCTATTTATCTATCATCTATCTATCATCTATCTATATATCTATCTCATTTATATATCTATCTATTTATCTATCTATCTATCTATCTATCTCATTATCTATCATCTATCTATCTATCTATCTATCTATCTATCTATCTATCTATCTATCTATATCTGTTCATTATTCATTATCTATCTATCTATCTATCTATCTATGTATATTCATTTTATTTCATATCTATCTATCTATATATCTATCTATCTCATTCATTTAATCTATCTATTTATCTATTCTATCTATCTATCTATCTATCTTATTTATGATCTCATTCATTATCTATCTATCTATCTATCTATCTATCTATCTATTTTATCTATTTATTATTCTATCTATCTATCTATATCTATCTATCTATCTATCTATATATATATATATCTATCTATGTATATTATATTATTGTTGTGGTAGGATCCACCTAATTTGCATAGTGGAGTACCGACCATATAAATATGGTTGGTACCGGGAAGAGAGGGAGGAATCAAGAGATTCAATCCAGAGACTCTGCCCGACTGCGACTCAGTCAACACATTCTCCAGGAACGGTCTTACCAGGAATATACAAAAGACTATATGTAAATATTGTGTACCTTTTTTTTGTTTCAATACCTTTTGTTCTAAGTACCTTTTGTGTTGTATTATTATTCCATGCATTAGTCAAATTTCAACAACAAAAAAACAAACATTGTACTGGCATTTATCTCAAATTTTATTATTTATCTATCTATCTATCTAAATATCTATCTATCTATCTTAGGATAAAAAGTTTATATATATATATATATGGGGCAAATATTATATATATATATATAATTTATTTTAAAAAATGATTTCAATGCGGCGAAAATAAATTCAGTTTCAAAAAAAATTAAAATTTTCAATATAATTATTATTTGAAAATTGAGTTAATAAAATATGTTGTTCCATCTTCAAGAAAAATTTTTTGGGAATAAATATTTCTGAAATTTACGTTTTTAATAATTGAAATCAAAATTTCCATGGTAACATATGGCAGAGGCGAATTGTTTAAATTGGGTAGGCGTGTGTTAAGGTGTTTTTAATAAGTATCAGAATAGAGTTGGCGATATATATAGATGTCAAATCAAAGAAATTAAATTAAAACACGTAAATTTCAGAAAAAAGACGTTATTCCAAAAAAAGGAAAGAGCTTGAAGATGAAACAGAAAAAATTTAACTCATTATAATTCAAATAATTATATTGAAAGATTTTCTGGCTCTTGTGAAAGAAACGAATGAGACCTTTATAGAAAACGGAAGTTTTAAATCATATTTTTAAATAAATAATTATATTTATGCTTTTTTTTATAAAGAGATTTATTTTTAAAAATAAAAAATAAAATACTAAGGAACTTTGGATTTTTAATTTTTAAAATTTTTCCATTTTAACTATATCAAACATTTATATATATATATATATATATATATATATATATATATATATATATATAGTTAACAATATATATTTCTTTATATGTCAGTTTGAAATTTTCATTATCTATCTCTTTATATATCCATCCATTTTTAACTATTAAGTTTTTAAAATTTATATAAATATATCTAATATTTATCTATCTATCTATCTATCTATCTATCTATCAATTTGTATTATCTATTTATTACATATGTATGATATTTAAATCAAATGTTAATATATAAATGAAAGAAATTTTATTAATATATATATATATATTTATATATATATATATCAAGAGTTCATTAATAAAAAATCTATTTATAAAGATATCTTCATATATTTATATATGCATTTGTTTCTTCATTAAAGAAAGATGTAGTTTATTTTTATAAGGATATATATATATATATATATATATATATATATATATATATATATATATAAATTATAAATTTCTATATATCTATCTAAAATCTATTATCTATGATTGTAATTTTTTTTATTATGAAATTTTAAAATTTAAAATGAAGAATGTTCTGATAAATATCTTATATTTATCAGAATCTATTGGGCAATATTAAATTTATATTTGAAAAAATAAATTCTATCTATAGAATTTTACTGTTCCTATATCATTAAGAAAGTATATATATTATAATATATATATTATCTATATATCTATTCCAAAACTGTGTATTATCTAAATATAAAAAGAAAATCACTGATATTTATCTGAAATGAAAAATATATATATATATAGTTTATTAATATATATATATATATATATATATATATATATATATATATATATATATATATATAAATTTTGAAAAATGTTTCATTAAAATATATCAGAGAATTTATTATTTCCTTCATTATTTAATATTTTGCTCGATAATAATCTTTGAAATCTTCAGATTCTTTGTTCTCTCAAATTTTGAAAAAAAAAAATGTAAAGAATGATATATATATATATATATAAATATATATATATAAATATAGTTTAAAAAAAAAATATCTATTTTTATTTTTTTTTTTTTTGGAAAATATACATTGTTATTTTAAAAAAAAAAAGTGTCATACGTTAATATCTATCTATCATTATTTACTTGATAAAAAAATAAATAAATCTAATATTTTGTCTAGAATATCTATTTGAAAAGAGTTTATTAATATTTATTTTTAAAAAATAATTGTTAAAAAATTTATCTATATTCTATTTATCTATAAAGAAAAAAAAATCTGTCAATTAAAATCGATTTTCTGTTCAGAAGATTTTTTTATTTCAATAACGAGAAAAAAATGATTGTTTAGTCGAGAAGAAAATGTCATCCCAATCAATCCGTTGTTATTGCAATGCAATTGTATAAATAGAATATAAAAAACAAAGTGAAAAAAAAAAATTCGTTTTAATTCATTTAAAAAAAAAATATATCTGATCAAATTTTTTCCTCACATCTCTTTCGAGCGTTTAGCAACTTTTATTTTCATTCCAATTCCAGATAAAGTGGAGAAAAATCCGGAGGCGATTGCGAAAAAAGAAATTTAAAATGATGATATATAATAATGATAGAATTTTTTTTTTTCAAGCTTTGATTTGTTGTTTAAAATCTACAAACAAGAACAACACAACGGCACATCGTAGCGGCGTTTTTGCTAGGGTAATACAATTAAAATAATATAAGTCGAAGTGTGAAGGAAATTGCACCTCAATTTGCAGCTGAATAAGTACAATGCTTTTGGATTGCGTTCACTGACGTTATATTAATGGCAATTAACTGTTTCCTTACAAGAACACTTTTGGCGTTTATTGTCCGAGTACCCAGTACTGCTTTCGGTTTAAATTTTTATAAGATCTTTCTCTTAAACCAATTTTTCGGGAAAAGATATTTCTCAGGTTCAGTAGCTGTTATCGCTTTTTTCAGTACTGATATTAGCCGTTTCCCTATAAGGAAATATTTGGCGTTCATTAACTGAGAAGCCAGTACTGTTTTCTTTTGAAATTTATAAGATCTTTCTCTTAAAATTTTTTTCGGAAAAAAAAAGATCAGGTTCAGTAGCTGTTATCGCTTTTTTCAGTACTGATATTGAATGTTAAAATGAATAAGGAAATATTTGGCGTTCATTAACTGAGAAGCCAGTACTGTTTTCTTTTGAAATTTATAAGATCTTTCTCTTAAATCAATTTTTTAGGAAAATAGGCTTCTCAACTCCACTAGGTGTTATAGCTCTTTCCAGTACTGACATTAGCTGTTTCCCTACAAGGAAACAATTGGAATTTCATTAGTCGATCATCTAGTACTGCTATCGGTGAATTTATAAAATCTTTACCTTAAAACAATTATGTACATCATGTCCATTATTGTTATCGTTTTTTATTTATAGAAAAGTGAGGAAAGGGGTGTTAAAAAAAAAAACGTTTTAACATCTTGATTATATCATCAATTTTCAATTTTGAGTTATATGGGACATCCATTTTAGATGTTGTAAAAAAATAAGACGTTAAACTACGTTCAATAGCAAAAGATTTGATCAGGAGGTTTTGAGGAGCGTGGAAAAAACCTCTTAAAAAAAAAAAAAGAAGGAGAACCCAGACCCGGAGTGGTAGCAAAAAAGGGAAAAATAGCTTTTGTAAAAATATTAACTATTACCAGAATAAGAAAGAAAAAAAATTATTACCAGCAATACAATTTGAAAAGGAAAAAATCAAAGAAACAGATTAAAAAAAAAAACAAAAAAAAAAATATTACCAGCAAAAAAAAATGTTGTCGGAATTTTTTAAAAAATGAAGAATTGAGGTTGATAGAAAGAAAAAGAAAAGAAAACCAAACCTAATCTAAACCAAAGGGGAACATAAAAAAAAAAAACGAATCTAAAAAAAAGAAAAAATGTTGTCGGAAAGAAATAACCCATTGAGGTGTTGAAATGCCGTAAAAAAAAAAAAAACCAACCCATTTTAGATGTTGCTGCTTTGGAAAAGAAAAGAAAGTGATGCGGTTTCTGAAAAAAAGATTGATTCTGAAAGAAAGAAGAAAGAAATGAAAAAAGAAAGAATGATCTTTGGAAAAAAAGAAAAAAAAAAAAAAGGAAAGAAATTTAAAAAGAGAAATTGAAAAGAAAGGAAAAAAAAAAAGAAAGAAAAAAAAAAGAAGAGAAGGAAGGGGCGTGTTTGGTGCTATGCTTGGCAAAAGAAAAAAAAAGAATCTCATGAAGAAAGAAAAAAAAAA